TAGATGGTCATGTGATGGGAAAGAAACTAAAGAGTGTTGGCTTAGCCAATTATAGTTGCAAGTATAAAAGTAAAGATTTTATCTACCTTTTCTCCCTAGATGCTATGGGAATAGAGATGGGTTCTACCATTACCGTCTTCTAAAATATTTTCAATGAGTGTAAAATATTTTCTCAGACCATAATTTGTATCATTTTTAACCAATTCCCAATATTTGATATTTCACTTTATTCCAGTTTTTTGCTTTATAAGCAGTGTCATGATGAATATATTTACTGTTTATGTAAAAATATCCATGAACCAAAAATGATTGCATTTTTCAAACTGTTAACCAGCCCAGTGCCAGTGGTGAGAAGGAGATAAGTGGGGGGGCCTTCCTGTAAGTTTCCCAGGATTATCTCTGATCACAAGAATCAGATTCATTTATCCACTTAACAAGTGTTAGATAACATTAAGAGGTCTCCCTAACATTTTTAAGTGCCCCCTATGTGGCGGGCACTGTTCTAGGCACTGGGGAGATGGTGGGAAGAGAAAGTGGAACACAGACTGTGTTCTGGTGATACGTAGACAGATCAGACAATCCTGTAGACTGGGAAGGGCTCTTCAGAAAGGAGAGGGATCATGAGGGAGACAAGACAAGGTGGGGTGCTTCCTCAGATGGGTGACCAGGGCAGGAATCTGAGGGGTGGCCTGTCTGAGGAGGAGAACCCAGCTTCTGGAGAACTGAGGGAAGAGTGTTGCAGGCAGAGGGAATAGCAGTGCGAAGGCCCCGAGGTAGAAATGAGAGTGAGAGGAAAGAGACAAAAAGCAGCCAGTAAGGTTGGAAGATGTGAGTGCATGGACTGGACAGGACCAGAGAGGAGGGCTAACGAAGACTGGCAGGACCTTGCAACCGTGAGCAGCTTGGATTTCATTCTGACGCAGAGAGAGGGCACCAGAGGGATCTGCAGTGGCCCTGTACTGAGGCCCTCATGAGCAGGACTCTAAAATTATGCCGGGGATGGCAGGAATAATGGGGAGAATTAGGATAGGCGTCACACGTGGAATTATACTAGGAATTATACTTCTCTTTGCTCACCACAGACCTGGTTCTGTGCTGTCTGCTATGCCTCCTCGTATGTAGCAAGGTGTGTACTGAGGGGCAGCACACCTCACTGAAGGGCACCCAGCTCCCAGTGGTGGTGCTGGGATTGGAACCTGTGGGGCAGACTTGAGGGTCGGTGCTCTTAACCACTACCGCTGCTCTGCCTCCCTGGGTACTGGGTTGGGGCATGGTTTGTCCACATCTGTATGTTGCTTTTCCCTTTGTACATATTAGAAGGACTGTGACCTGTCAGGTTCACTGAGCTAGTAAGTGGCAGAGATGCTGACTGAGTCCCTGGCTCCTCAGTCTCCAAAGGGTCTTCAGTATGGACCCGGCATCCCTGGTTGAGTAACCTCACTCCATATACCTGATGGTCAAGACAACACATTAGGACAACTTTCAGATAATAACCACCTCCAGGGGACACAGGGACTTACCTTTTCCTTAATTCCTGGCTTTCGCTATGTCTGCTTTTCTCTCCGAGGGCCTCAGTGTCCTGTTCTGTTAAATGAATAAATCATTCCTACCTAAAAAGGTTGTTGGGGGGATTAGGCAAGGTGATACATGTGAAGGAACCTAGCCCAGGCCCTGGCAGGTGCGTCCCCACCAGACGCAGGGGACTAGAATGTCATTTCACTCTGAGACCCAGCTGATCGCAGAGCCATTCCTATCCCTCTGTCACTTGTAGGCTAATCTGACACTGCAGAGCCCCTGGGCCACTTCTCCTTCAGCAGGTGACTTTCATTCAATTTAACCACAGGTGATCTGTCCCTTGGTCCAAACTGTTCATTTTCATTAACAGGAGACCTTGATGTGCCTCCTGTCCCCATGTCCCCTCCTCCCTGTGTTCAGGAACAACAGAAGCAAAAATGCAAAAACAGCTATTGCAGCTCTGGGAACTCTTCTCCCTGACGCTCCCTGATGCTCCCTGGCGGGGGGCCTGTCCCACTTTCTGCTCTGAATGCTATCCACACCCACGCTTGCATCAGCCACTGTAGCTGGAGTTTCTGGATAAAGTTACAACTCCTGTAGAGCCCTAAGTGCTGTGGCCCCGTAGCCCTCTTCAGCCTGGTCCCATAGGCTCTCCCTGGCCTTCAGGCTCTGGCCAGCCCTGCCTCCTTCCAGGTCTCCTCAGTGTCCCTTCCTGCCACTTAGGAGGCCTCAGCCTCTGGGGCTCTGCTCCTCTCTGCCTGCCCATCCTTATGTCAGTCACTCTCACTCGGGTCCTTTGTCCTCTGTCCTGGGGGAGCCTTGCGCAGAGTTATGCGCTGCACTTTAGCATGCTTGCCTTCCATGTGTGATCACATTTGTGAGCAAGTATTCTGTACCTTTATGGGTGTTTTCATGTCCCCTGCTGCAGCGTGAGCTCTGAGAAAGCAGGGCCCTGCCTGTCCTGCCTCTGCGGAGTCCCCCACAGATCTCTGTTGACGAGTTCCAGGCACTTGCTCAGCCACTGAGTGGCCGGGCTGCCCGTTCTCTCCTCTGAGTCCTGCTTGGCCTCTGTGCCATCACCCTGGTCCTCCTGTCTGCAAAGTTCTCCCGATGCCCCGCCTTCCTGAGTCCCTCCAGCCCCGGAGCAGAACACCACAGGTGTACTTAGTTAGATCAGATGCACCTTTTCAGGGCTTTCAGGGCTCAGAAATCTTAGGGTGTGGCAGCCCTGAAGCACAGTTCTTCCCTGCAAATCCCGGAAACTCCCTCATTGGTACAGTGGGTGCAGGAGCCGCACCTACCCAGGGCCAGCTCACAGCTGTGCAGCGAGGGTGGTCCCACAGTGCCCCGTGCTCAGAAGGGCCCCACGCCTGCTTAATGCCCTGCAGTCACCATCTTGAAATTCTTAATCAGATTTGAACTGCAGCCCCACATTTTCATCTTGCACTGAGCCCTACGTGTCGTAGAGCTGGCCCTGTGTCTGCCTTGTAGGGCAATGTGAGGAGCCCTAGAGAACGCATGGGGCCCGCACACCCCAGGGCCTGGCACATGGCAGGCACTCTCTGCAGGGTCACCTGTCATCATTTTAGCTCTGCTCAACCACAACCACAGTCAATAATTCATTCTTGTGTTTGCTCAGCTTCATTGACTAAGTGCTGTGGTCAGAGGCATTGATCAACTGCTTAAACCCTCTGCAGCTGCTCCTCACCCTCTCCGGTTTCCCAAACCTGGCCGGTCTTCAGTCACTGCTTGAGCTTGTTAAAAATAGATTTCTAGACTGCACCCCAGGCCCACTGAACCGGCTCCCCAGGGTCGGGGCTGCGAATCTGTGTAGTTAGCAAGACACCAGGCAACTCTAATGCCTTCATCTGTGCCGTGATGGGTGGAACAGAGTTGGGAACCTCCGTCTTATGGTGCAGAACCCAAACCTCTTTCCACTCTGGCCCTGGCCTGTCTTTTCAGCATCGTGTCCTGTGTGCACCCTGACCCTGCACCGGAGTATCAGCTTTCCCTGACCTACCCAGTAGTCCCTCTTACTCCTTTAACTCCTGCCCTCCTCTGAGGTGTCACAAGAAACCCTGTTGCCTTTATCTCAGTGTGCTGTTCTTCCCTTTCATGCTCACTCAGCACCCAGTTTTATTGTTCTGTGAGCATGTCATGTGGCAGGGCGATTGGTTCCTACCCCTCTGTATCCTGTTGCCTGAGAGCTTCAGGGCTCACCCTGCACCCTCAGTCAGCATCCGGCACATTCACTACATGCACAGCAGAGCACCCCATGGACACATGTCCATGTGGTGTGCCTGCTGCTTCCCCTGCGGCCCTAAGCGCACAGTTGGTGCTCAGTAAAGCCCTTCGGCTTGGTGTGCTGGGCTGGTCGGTGGCACAGACGTCAGTGCTCACTCTGCAGCCAGCAAACCAAATGCCTTTACAGCCCTCGGCACCTGTGTCATCCTGGGAGGCTCCTGCTTGCTCCTGGCTTTGTGGAGACAAGCCCTGTTGGGAGAATGTTTCCTCCCAGGTGTCCATGTGTAAAAGAGTCATTCTAGGACATTCCCCATGTATTGTGTGGAAGAGGCAAAGTGTAGAACGTAAAGCTTTCTCATGTAGTAGATGTTTCCCCCCTTTTGGAAATGACTGAGTGGCCAAAGCTCAGGTACTGAACTGTTTCAAACCAACCCCAGTCATACCAGGAAGAGGGATTTTTGTTGTTTTTTCCCTCTTACCTGTGGGGTTTTAAATATTTCTCCTGTTATTTTGCTCTTTTCTGCATTTACTAAAGGCAGTTGACAACCACACCAAATGGATCACTTGCTTTGGTTGAATACTCACTTGTGCTCTGTGTGCATTGTGGCTTTAATAGCCAACGCCTGTGCCATAAAAGACATGCTGGTCAATCGAAGGTGTTTTCCTGAACACCTACTGTGTGCTCCTGCCAGAGTGGGAACACGCAGACAAGCCATTCAGAGGAGTGTACCATTCCCATCCTCCGTGGTATTTAGTGTCCTAGACTCACGTGGTAACCATACCCAATACCTTCATTCACAAAGTCCTTCCTGAGCTGCTATCCTCAGCGGCCCTGTGGGGCAGGTATGGCAGCTGATGGATGGATAATAGAACCAGGATGCAGAACAGCTGAGGCTCATGTCCGAAGCCTGAGTGTTCTGGCCCCATTAGTATATTGTGCCTGGTGGGCAGAGACCTGCACTAAGTTGCCCATCTCCTTGAAGCACCTTGGATATGCTGTGGGCTGGAGGAACCCTTTCTTCTGCTTGGATGCCCTTCCTGGTATGGAAGAGGTGGCTTCTGATGTCTGGAAACTTCTAAATTCCTTGGGGGACTCAGGCTGATAGAGAAGCCCTGCTCTCCCGGAGCGCCCACTCCTGCTCTGCGCTGCTGTGGGCTGCCGACAGCATCAGGTGCTTTCTGAGCCTCGGGGAACGCTTCATACACCATGTAATCGCCTTTTTCTCCTGTCTCTCTCTCAGGCACATCTCTCTAACGCTCCCTGCCACCTTCCGAGGCAGGAACAGCACGCGGGCTGACTATGAGTACCAGCACTCCAATCTGTATGCCATATCAGGTATGTGGGGCCCTTGCTAGTGGTAGTGTCCCACACAGCCTCCCTCGATGCGTTTCCTGGCTTCTGGTAGCATCTGTCTTACCTCTTTTTTTCCCCTGCAAGGGGCCTGTTCCCAGCAGGGGCCAAGCCTCCCCTTTCCTTTGTGTCACCGCAGCACTTAGAGGAGGGCCAAATACTCTGCATGTTTTGAAACTAATGATGAAAAACAATGTGTGGATTTCACAAGCTTGAAGGGAGGTTTTCAGAGAATAGTTGCCGCATTGTTCACCTGCCAGATCCAGGGCAGGCTTCCCATGGGGACCTGGGGGGCAGCACAGAGCCGGGGCCTGGTCCACGCACCCTCCTGGATCCAGGTCTGTCCTCACTTCTCATTTCTCAAAGCCAGGTTTGTGGCCAGAGGGTACACTGGTGGTCTCCCCATCACACTCCCGTCGTATGAGCCTGTGATTTCTGAACTCGGCCTTGAAATTGATAGTGTTACCTTGGCAGGAACTTCATCAGTCCTAGTTTCCTTTTCACCTTCACCCAGGGAGGGGAAACTTACAAGCCTTATTACAGAATTGAGATTCATTAGGTGCCTGGCAGGGCAGGTGACTTGCTAAGAGCCGAGGAAACCCACAAACTCACCTTCGATTATGCTGGGCCTCCAGTCGGGGTGTCTGTGTCCAAGGGGCAAGTGGCAAATCGGTGCCACTTACCAGCGTGCACCCTTAATGGTGAGTGACATTTGGAATACGGGAACATGGCATTCATTCATGTACCATAATGAATCGGTTATTTAAAAGATAATCTTTTCTCTAAAAATTGCAATTTCAGGTTACTAAATAGATGGAATAGAACAATGGTATAATTCGTGTCAGTATTAGTTTTTCTTGTTATGATCACTCCCTAATAGGTTTGGAAGTAAAAGCAAAAGCCAGTTATTCCGTTTCTGGGTGGCACACCTTCTGGGGAAAGGTGAGGACAGGGATGCTCCCAGAGCCCACGGCCCCAGCTGCCCTCCTTTCTGGAGCCGGGCTCTCAAAGGGTGGAGGGAACAGTTTGTCTAAGAAAAGCACCTCCAGGGAGAACTGCCTTTGTGCTGTGGCCATTTCAGCAGAGTCGACAAGGAGCATAACAAGGTGGAAAGATGACCTATTTTGTAGAAGAGCTGACCATTTCCCCAGGCGCCTCATGGCAGAGCTGCACAGAGCAGGTCTGTGAAATCCAGCAGCGTGAGCCCGTTCCGAATGCACATAAGGAAGGCTCAGTCCAAGCAGATGACTTTTTCCTCCAGCTTGCAAATCTTTCTCCAGCAGAGTGTTTGCTGCTCTCCCGCCCCTTACCTGGGTCCTCTGATGGCTTTCCCAGCTGTTGACATTTCTGCAGAAAAGGGCCCACAGAGTGAAATCTCCTCTGGTTTGGCAGGAATGCGCTTGTCTGCCTCTGGACCACTGCTTCCTCGCCCCCTGGCTTTGATGAGGTGTTGTCTGGGTTCATTTCAGCTGTTAGCTTAGCAATACCAAGGTAACAGCCTCAAGACACAGGGGAAGCCATTCAGAAACTTCCTGTTACATTTATGTAAATGGCAGTCAATTCGATTTTATCTTCCAAACAGAGGTAGTTGAGGCTGCAGCCCAGAGCAGCAGGCAGCTCGGGTCTCCTTGGTGGCTGCAGGCACCAAATTGCTCTGCCAGGGCCCAGGAATGCTTTGTTGTGATGCTGCCAGAAATACCCCACAGGACCCGCTGGCTCCATAAGGCCTGCAAGCTCAGCACTGGGCAACCATGGTGCAGCTGGGAAGCCTGCCCGCGTACCCACCGGCAGGCTGCCTGCGAGTTGTTCTGGCTGGAAGGGAGCAGATACCTCCCCTCCCCCATACGCACAGTATTTGGCACTGAGTGGCACATCTCAGTTTGGTATTGTGAAGTTAAGTTTTCAATGGTTTATTCCAAAAACAGTCAAGGCAAAGTGTGCCCCAGGCCCTTTCTCTGGCCCAGTGTTCGTTGCCACGGTAGCTGGAGCTCTGCTGGTAATGAAATGAATCATCCACTGTTCTCCTTCCGAACGGCTCCAGCACATGCTCACTGCAGACCTCAGGGGCTAAGCCTTTGGTGCAAACTCCTGGTGTGCTCTGGTTCATTCCTGAAAATACTTGATTAGTTTGCAGCCCTTCCTAAGATAAGTAGATTTCCAAACAATGTAATTAGAATTTGGAAAAGCAGCACACATTTAATTTGTATGTATGGTTATTAAAGTAGTATTTACTTTTAAATGTTTTCCCAAGGGCATACCTGTTAATATATCCCTTCTCCTGTACCTTTCACTGATACATCTATGCCACACCTGCAAAAGGGAAGATGCTGCTCAGAGTTGCTAGAGAAACCAGTGGAAAGTGTAGCTCTGTCCCCAGCACTAGAGGTGCTCATGAAATGTTTATGGAAGGGAGGGAGGGAGGAGGAAAGCATTTAGCTCAGTGCCTACCTTGCCCTGGAGTGCCCTCTGTGACCTCTGGGGCAGATGATCATCCTGATTTGCTGCTCAAACATCTCCAGGTCTGGGGTCATCACCTCCCATAAACTCATTCCATGTCTTCGAGGTCCTCCCTCGTGTGGCTGGGCTCTGTCTTCCTGCATGTTCATATCCATCCAGCCTTTTGGGATACAACTGTTCTACATGGTCCAGCCAGTGGTTTTCTCTTGTGTCCAGAGTGCTGTAAGGAAATTCTGCCGGCCCAGTGCTGAAACCCTGAGAAGCTATGCCCTTTGCTCTGCCATCATGTATCCTAATCAAAATGGCAAGAAGCATGCCATCGATCCTCGCACTTCGTCTTCTGGGAATTTCTTCTAGAAAATATTATAGTATGTAAAAAGGCTTATCCACAAGGATGAGCACTGCTGTTTAAAAAACAAACAAACAAACAAAAACGCCCCCCCCCAATCTGGTTTGGCTCAGTGGTTAGAGTGTTGGCCTACAATGGAAGGATCAAGGGTTTGATTCCCGTCAAGGGCACGTACCTTGGGGTTGCATGCTCAGTCCCTGGCCCTGGTCGGGGTACATGCAGGAGGCAATCAATCGATGTGTCTCTCTCACAGCAGTGTTTTTCTCTCTCCTCTCTCTCCCCTTCACCCTTCCACTCTCTCTAAAAAAAAAAAAAAAAAAATCCTCTGGTGAGGATTAACAAAAAATAACAACAATAATAATACCCTAAAAAAGGGGTAGGGATGGAAGGATTTCCTAAATACCTAAAATAGAGGCAAACAGTTAAATTATGAAACATCTGTATAATAACCTTAACTTTTCAGGCATCAAAAAGTGATGATTTAGGTTAAAAGATGTGCATAAATATTAAGTCACAAACCATAATGAGCAATGTGTGATCTTGTTAATAGGTAGATATCTGGAAAGGTACATGCCAAGGTGTTCACAGGGGTTGTCGCTGGACTTTCCTGCTCTTTGATTCTGTTTGCTTCTTTGCTGTGTCTCACTTTTGTATGATAGCATGTGTCGCTTTTGTAATAAACAAAGCAGGCCTGTTGTTAATTTGGCGGGTTCCCATAAGCCTTGCAGGCCTCTGTGATCACCTTCTCTCTCTGAGTGCTCCTACTCCGGACACACAGTGTGCTTTCAGATTCCACTGAAAATCACTCTCAGGCCCAGATCAATAATTTCCTCATTGGTCCTTTCTGAGAATACAATTTTTCCTGTTGTCCAGTCCCCTGGAACCTCCTGCCCACTGACACTCCTCCAGGACCACTGACTGCAGTTCCATCAGCAACCTTCACAGCCCTCTGGCCCTATAGACACATCAGGTATGGAAGCTCCTGGGTGCCCAGCCACCTCCTCACCTGTCTTGCTCTTCACATCCCACATCACCATGTTGTCCTGCTCCTCAGGGGTTGAGGATGATTTTCCTTGAAAGAGGAGATAGAAGTATAATAGTAGGTGCCTGGTTTGGCTCCCTCTGTCTCTTATAGGGTCGTTAAACTGCGGCCCACGGCCAGATCTCACCCACCACCTATGACCTGTGAGCTAGGGAGGGTTTCATATTTTTAAATAGTTGAAGAAACATAAAAAATATTTAGTGATGTAAAATTATTTGAAAGTCATATTTCAGTGTTCATAAATAGTTTTTTAATCTTCACCCGAGAATATGATTTTATTGGTTTTAGAGAGGTAGGGGAGAGAGAAACGTCAATGTGAGAAAGAAACATCTATTGGTTCTTTCCCATACTCTCCCCCTGGATATGTGCCCTGACTAGGAATTAGTCCCGCAACGTTTTGCTGTACGGGACAGTGCTCCAGCCAACCAAGCCACTCGGCTGGGGCTAAATAAAGTTTTATTAGAACACATCCATGCGCATTCCTTAGCTGCTTTCATACAACAGTGGCAGAGTTGAGTGTGACAGACCATGAGACCCACTAAACCTGAAGTGTCTACTGTCTGTCCCTTTACAGAAGAAATTTGCTGAGCCCTGGTCTTTGTCATCAGCCCTGAGCAATGGGAGCCTTCATTCTTACTCTTCTCTCTCTACACATAACTTTAAGCCACTTTCTAATTGTTCTTTCTGCAAATGCCGGCTCAGCTTTCCTGGCGATGCTCTAACATCTGCATCCCATTCAGTTATGTTCCTTTACGCTGCTCTGTCCTGGGAGAGCTCTCTTCAGGACCATGTGGATTTCTCTAGATTCTGCCCCAAACGCCACTCCTAAATTTTCTTGTCAGAACTCAGTGGCCGTTAGTTTTCTTTTTAACCCTTTGCGGTCATATGTCTACTCTCAGCCACCAAAGCTTTTTTACCGTTCCAGTCGTATGTCTACTCTCAGCCACCAAAGCTTTTTTACCGTTCCGGTCGTATGTCTGCTCTCAGCCACCACAGCAAGGAACCGTACGAATCTTAACTCTATTCATTCGTGTATCAGTTCATAATTTCTCTGAAAGCTCTTAATTCCGACCAGTACGACACCCATGTCCAAATTTAGTACGACTGCAAAGGGTTAAGAATATCTTATCTCTCCTG